AGTTCACCAGAGAAGAAGAGAACAACAATGAATTTCCGTTTGTGGATGGTGGAATGAATGAACAAACAAAGAACAAAGAACAAAGAAAATTACAGCACAGGAACAGGCCCTTCAGCCCTCCAAGACTGCGCGGATCCAGATCATCTATCTAAACCTGTCGCCTATTTTCCAAGGATCTGTATCCCTCTGCTCCCTGCCCTTTCATCTATCTGTCTAGATACATCTTAAATGACGCTATCATGCCTGCCTCTACCACCTCTGCTGGCAATGCATTCCAGGCACCCACCACCCTCTGCGTAAAGAACATTCCACACATCTCCCTTAAACTTTTCTCCTCTCACCTTGAAATCGTGACCCCTAGTAATTGAGTCCCCCACTCTGGGAAAAAGCTTCTTACTATCCACCCTGTCTATACCTCTCATGATTTTGTAGACCTCAATCAGGTCCCCCCTCAACCTCCGTCTTTCTAATGTTAATAATCCTAATCTACTCAACTTCTCTTCATAGCTAGTGCCCTCCATACCAGGCAACATCCTGGTGAACCTCCTCTGCACCCTCTCCAAAGCATCCACATCCTTTCGGTAATGTGGTGACCAGAACTGTATGCAGTATTCCAAATGTGGTCGAACCAAAGTCCTATACAACTGCAACATGACCTGCCAACTCTTGTACTCAATACCCTGTCCGATGAATGAAAGCATGTCGTATGCCTTCTTGACCACTCTAACAACCTGCGTTGCCACCTTCAGGATACAATGGACCTGAACACCCAGATCTCTCTGTGCATCAATTTTCCCCAGGGCTTTCCCATTTACTGTATAGTTCGCTCTTGAATTGGATCTTCCAAAATGCATCACCTCGCATTTGCCTGGACTGAACTCCGTCTGCCATTTCTCCGCCCAACTCTCCAATCTATCTATATTCTGCTGCATTCTCCGACAGTCCCCTTCACTATCTGCTCCTCCACCAATCCTAGTGTCATCTGCAAACTTGCTAATCAGGCCATCTATACCTTCCTCCAGAGATAGTAGGAACTGCAGATGCTGGAAAATCTGAGATAACAAGGTGTAGAGCTGGATGAACACAGCAGGCCAAGCAGCATCATAGGAGCAGGAAGGCTGACATTTCGGGCCTAGATTTCTGAAGAAGGGTCTAGGCCCGAAACGTCAGCTTTCCTGCTCCTCTGATGCTGCTTGGCCTGCTGTGTTCATCTAGCTCTACACCTTGTTATCTCTATACCTTCCTCCAGATCATTTATGTACATCACAAACAACAGTGGTCCCTACACGGATCCCTGTGGAACACCACTGGTCACAGTTCAACATTTTGAGAAACTCCTTTCCACTACAACCTGTCTACTGTTGCCCAGCCAGTTCTCTATCCATCTAGCTAGTACACCCTGGAGCCCATGTGACTTCACTTTCTCCATCAGCCTACCATGGGGAACCTTATCAAACACCTTACTGAAGTCCATGTATATGACACCCACAGCCCTTCCCTCAATTATCAACTTTGTCACTTCCTGAAAGAATTCTATCAAGTTGGTAAGACATGACCTTCCCTGCACAAAACCATGCTGCCTATCACTAATAAGCCCATTTTCTTCCAAATGTAAATAGATCCTATCCCTCAGTATCTTCTCCAGCAGCATCCCTACCACTGACGTCAGGATCACTGGTCTATAATTACCTGGATTATCCTTGCTACCCTCCTTAAACAAGGGGACAACATTAGCAATTCTCCAGTCTTCCGGGACCTCACCCATGCTCAAGGATGCTGCAAAGATATCCGTTAAGGCCCAGCTATTTCCTCTCTCGCTTCCGTAAGTAACCTGGGATAGATCACATCCGGACCTGGGGACTTGCCCACCCCAATGCCTTTCAGAATACCCAACACATCCCTCCTCCTTATGCCAACTTGATCTAGAGTAATCAAACATCTATCCCTAACCTCAACATCCGTCATGTCCCTCTCCTCGGTGAATACCGACGCAAAGTACTCATTAAGAATCTCACTTGTTTTCTCTGACTCCTCACATAACTTCCCTCCTTTGTCCTTGAGTGGGCCAACCCTTTCTCTAGTTACCCTCTTGCTCCTCATGTACGAATAAAAGGCTTTGTGATTTTCCTTAACCCTGTTTGCTAAAGATATTTCATGACCCCTTTTAGCCCTCTTAATTCCTCGTTTCAGATTGGTCCTACTTTCCCGATATTATTCCAAAGCTTCGTCTGTTTTCAGTCGCCTAGACCTTATGTATGCTTCCTTTTTCGTCTTTGCTAGTCTCACAATTTCACCTGTCATCCATGGTTCCTTAATCTTGCCCTTTCTATCCCTCATTTTCACAGGGACATGTCTGTCCTGCACTCTAATCAACCTCTCTTTAAAAGCTTCCCACATATCAAATGTGGATTTACCCTCAAACAGCTGCACCCAATCCACATTCCCCAGCTCCTGCCGAATTTTGCATAGTTGGCCTTTCCCCAGTTTAGCACTCTTCCTTTAGGACCACTCTCGTCTTTGTCCATGAGTATTCTGAAAATTACGGAATTGTGATCACTATTCCCAAAGTAATCCCCTATTGAAATATCAACCACCTGGCCGGGGTCATTCCCCAACACCAGGTCCAGTATGGCCCCTTCCCGAGTTGGACTATTTACATACTGCTCTATAAAACCCTCCTGGATGCTCCTTACAGATTATGCTCCATCTAAACCCCTAACACTAAGTGAATCCCAGTCAATGTTGGGAAAATTAAAATCTCCCATCACCACCACCCTGTTGCTCCTACATCTTTCAATAATCTGTCTACATATTTGTACCTCTATCTCACGCTTGCTGTTGGGAGGCCTGTTGTACAGCCCCAACATTGTTACCGCACCCTTCCTATTTCTGAGCTCTGCCCATATTGCCTCACTGCTCAAGTCCTCCACAGTGCCCTCCTTTAGCACAGCTGTGATATCCTCGTTGACCAGTAATGCAACTCCTCCACCCCTTTTACCTCCCTCTCTATCCCGCCTGAAGCATCTATATCCTGGGATATTTAGTTGCCAATCTTCTCCTTCCCTCAACCAAGTCTCAGTAATAGCAATAACATCATACTCCCAGGTACCAATCCAAGCCCGAAGTTCATCTGCCTTACCTACTGCACTTCTCGCATTAAAACAAATGCACCTCAGACCACCTGTCCCTTTGCGTTCATCATCTGCTCTCTGCCTACTCTTCCCCTTAGTCACACTGACTTCATTATCTAGTTCCTTACAGGCTTTAGTTACTACCTCCTTACTGTCCACTAACCTCCTCATTTGGTTCCCATCCCTCTGCCACATTGGTTTAAACCGTCCCCAACAGCGTTAGCAAAAGCACCCCCTCAGACATTGGTTCCAGTTCTGCCCAGGTGTAGACCGTCCGATTTGTAGTAGTCCCACCTCCCCCAGAACCGGTCCCAATGTCCCAAAAATCTGAACCCCTCCCTCCTGCACCATCTCTCAAGCCACTCATTTATCCTGCCTATTCTTTCATTTTTACTCTGACTAGCACGTGGCACTGGTAGCAATCCTGAGATTACTACCTCTGAGGTCCTACTTTTTAACTTGGCTCCTAACTCCCTAAATTCTGCTTGTAGGACCTCATCCCATTTATTACCTATATCATTGGTGCCTATATGCACCACGACAGCTGGCTGTTCACCCTCCCCGTTCAGAATGTCCTGCAGTCGATCTGAGACATCCCTGACCCATGCACCTGGGAGGCAACGTACCATTCGGGAGTCTCGTTTTCGACCACTGAACCACCTATCTACTCCCCTTACAGTCAAATCACCTATGACTATAGCCCTTCCACTCTTTTTCCCGCCCTTCTGTACAGCAGAGCCGGCCACGGTGCCATGAACCACTGCCCAAATATATCAGTTCACTCACCTTCCCAGAGCGCAATTCGACCGCTCCCACTCAGCTCTGCCGCCGAAATGAAGAACTTACTTTCCCGTCAGCCCCCTGGTCCTCGCTCTCACTGTTCCCGCTGCTGCTGCAAAAATGGAGGCCGCTGATTCCATGAGGTAAGTCTTTTAAAATGAAAAGCTCACCTTCCCAGCAGTCCACTCGCACTTTCTCCCAACTCCCGCCGCTGAACAAACGGCAGTGAATTCCTTACCAGCATACGCAGAAAGACTACACACACAGACCAAATCCTGAATTACAACAGTAACCATCCTTGCATCCACAAACAGAGCTGTGTCAAGACTCTGTTTAGATGAGTGGTAATTCACTGCAACATCCCGGAGCTGCGCAAAAACGAAGAGGAACGCCTAGACAGAGTCTTTGCAAACAAGGGTTATCCTAACAGTTTCGTCCGTCAATGTCTGGCAAACAAACAACACCAAGAAGAACCTGTATGCCCCAATACACTTGGCCATCCTCTCCCTATGTTAGAACACATCAGAGCTGACTACAAGACTCCTACGACCTCTTGGAATAAGGACAGCACACAAACCAACAACCACACTTTGCCAGTTACTCTCAAAGATGAAAGACCCCATATCCACAATGAGCAGGACAAATGTGATATACAAAATACCATGCAGCAACTGTGAGAAACACTACATAGCTCAGACGGGCAGGAAACCCGCCACCAGGACACATGAGCATCAACTCGACCAACTCATTCTCGTTTCAATACACCCCAACATAGAAGGACATCAGTTTAACTGGGACAAAGTTACAGTACTAGGACAAGCAAGACAAAGAGAAGTACGAGAATTCCTGGAGGCCTGGTTTTCAAGCACTGTGATAAACAAACGTGTTGAAATAGACTCCATCTACATAACCACTACAGTACAAAACCGGAAACAAGACTGCCCACCATAACAGATCCGACCATATAAATTCAGAGCAGGACAGAACAACAGTGTTTCAGTAGAGGTTACACAGCACTGACAATGTCACCTAGAAGGAAGACGAAACGTTTGCATGAAAACCAGTCAGCTCTGTATGTGAAAATGCATTCGGAGCTCCACTCTGCTAGTCAGTTCTCTCGCTCTTTCTTTCTTTATCCTTCCTTTATTTTCTCCCTTCTTCTCTCTCCCTCTGTAGTTATTCTATAAACCCCTAACCCATTTTAACTACCTACCTAAGGAGTCGGGATGGAGCCGGATGCGACTGGGAATCACATGGCAGGAGCTGAATGCGTGGATTGTGACCTGCAGTGACGGCAAATCGAGGGTGGGCCGGAGCGACGGCAGTGGATCAAGAGTGGGCTGGCAAGAGCGGGTCTGTGAGGCATCCCAGAGCCGGACACTGGCAGCGGCATGGTGAGGGCTGGAAAGCCCTGAGTGGGACTGCGGCAATAGAAAGGAAAGTTGGACTTTCTTAAGTTTTTTTTTCTTATCTTATTCTAAGTTAATGTGAATAGCACCACATATGTACATACTTTTCACTGGATCTTAACATTGAATACACGTGACAGTAAATGATTCAATTCAATTCATGATACTATATCACCCCCAACAACATGAACTCTTACTTTGCACAGAAACCTTTTACATGGCATCTTATTGAATGCTTGTTGAAAATTCAAATATACAACATGTAGTGTTCTTTCCCCTTGCCACAACCTTGAAGAGGTCCATGCTCCTTATTCTTGTTGGAGGTGAGAATTGAGGAAACGGGGAGTGGGAAGGCATCTCTCAAGGAAATGACTTATGTTATCGATTTTAAAATGATGCAACACAGTTTATTTAACACTGAGTTGATTTGGTTTTTGTCCAGAATTAATATTCTTGAAAAGTGGGTTGATGTTTTTAGCTTCAGCAGAAAGTGATCCCAATGAATATTGTTCAGTCCTGAATGCGATTATCATGACGATCCCATCATTGCAGTTTGTGAATTTGCTGGTGCCTCAACAGAGTGGATGAGTGAGCAAATCTCTTTCCACACACAGAGCAGATGAATGGTCTCTCCCCACTGTGAACTCGCTGGTGGGTCAGCAGGGTAGATGATTGAGTAAATGCCTTCCCACATTCAGGGCAGGTGAACGGTCTCTCCCCAGTGTGAACTAGCCGGTGTTGCAGCAGATCAGTCGACCGAGTGAACCCCTTCCCACACTCAGGGCAGGTGAATGGCCTCTCCCCAGTGTGAACCTGTTGGTGTTTCAACAGGTTAGATGAATTAGTGAATCCTTTCCCACACTCAGGGCAGGTGAATGGCCTCTCCCCAGTGTGAGTGTGCCGATGAGTTAGCAAGCGGGATGACCGAGTGAATCCCTTCCCGCATTCTGTACAGGTGAACGGGCTTTCCCCGGTGTGAGTGCGCTGGTGCACAGTGAGGTCAGATAATTGCCTGAACCCATTCCCACAGTGAGAGCACCTGAACGGTCTCTCATCGGTGTGAACACGTTGATGACGCATCAGTTCCCCTGAACTTTTAAAGCTCTTCCCACACTCTGGGCATGTAAATGGTCTCTGGTCAGAATGAACTCGCTGGTGAGCCAATAGGTTGCATGACAAAGTGAACCCTTTCCCACACTCAGAGCAGGTGAATGGCCTTTCTCCAGTGTGACTGCGCCGATGAGATTCCAGCTCAACTGGATAGTTGAATCTCTTCTCACAGTCTCCACATTTCCATGGTTTCTCCCCAGTGTGACTGGATTTGTGTCTCAACAGTTCAGATGATTGGCTGAAGCCTTGTCCACACACAGAACATGTATATGCTTTTTCTCCAATGTGAATACTGCAATTTCCTTCCATATTCAAAATCCAATGATATTTAGGTCACAACAAAATGGGCTGCTGTCAGGTCCTGGCATGATGTTTGGTTTGGGCTTCCAGACTGCAAATCCTTCCTTTCCAATAATCTATGAAAACAGAGAAAAGAGAGTGAAAGTTGACCCACAAAAACACAAAGGCAGTTTGTGAAACTGATCTGGATGAACCTGGTCATTTGTGGGGCTGGCATTAGGGAGGTGAGAATAAGAACAGTCAGTGTCATAAAAACTCAACAGAGTCACTCATTTCTATTAGGGAAAGGGAACTTTTCACCTGGTCTGGCTTGACACAAGACTTTGACTTCAATGGGAGGACAGAAAATGACAGAGAGAGTAGAATAGGCAGGGGCGATGGAGACAATTTATACATCTATATACATAATATGTCAATCAACACTTTGAAAGACTCCCAAACTTTCAACCTCTACCTGTAAGGACCTGAGCAGCCTCAAAATTCCCCTTCAGATCACACATCACCCTAACTTGTCTGACTTCCAGTAATGGATGAGCAGAAATATCCTCTATTTAAATATTTCAACAGTAAAGCCATTCTCTTCAGTTTCCACAACAAACACCACCCTCAAACCTACAAATCCATTCCCTATTGAGGGTAAACTAAACTAAACTGCTCACAAATGTAGTGTCTTATTTCACCCCCAACTAATATTGACCACAGTTTTGTATTATTGTCCAGGTTGCCTTTTTCCATTGAAGTAACATAACTCAACTTGTCCTCTGCCTCAACTCATCTACTTCTGGAACACTGATCTATTCCTTTGTTATCTCTACACTGGACTAGTCAAATATACCTCCTGACTGGTGTCCCACACTCAATGCCTCAGAAACTTGCAATTGTCAAAATTTCTGCTGCTGATGACCTCTGTAACTAAATTTCATTCACGTTCTGATCACCACGCTCCATACTCATCAAAAACAGGCTCCCAGTCTCAATCACTCCCCCATTAGCATTGTCAACACTGACCCACAAAGACTAGTGTTCTTATTCGCTCAATAGCACCGTGCTCATTAACCTACACAGGTTCCCGGTTATTCTATCCCCGATCACACAGTCCTCAGGGACTTACAGTCAAGCAGCACCTCAATTTAAACTCTTATCCACCTCCATCCCCCATTACCTGGCCCATTCCTGTTTGCAGTCCCACTGCTGTTTGAATTGACAGTCAGAGACAAAGATACATCCGCTCCTGAGGGATCGAGTGACTGCCAGAAGTATGAGTCTTGGATCGAGCTCCCTATCTTCAAATTCTGCTCTTGTAATAGTCTGAGAAAAAGTTATCCCTGTCAGTTCAAGTCTAAAACTGCAGATGAGACAAACATTTCTTTCGGTTTGAGTTCGCTAGTTGAGTCCTCTCCAAACCCCTCGAAACATTAAGGGTGCACATGCGCACCGCTGCAACTAGCCCCTATAAAGATGGCCACCGCGCACACATCTTGTGGATTTTTGCCCCTAATAAAGATGCCGGCCCTTTCGCCGCCAAAGACACGTAATTATTTCCCGGTTTGTCACAAACGTAGGACCTGGAGCATCTAGTTTACGTCTGGACACAGTTCCGATGTTTATAAATTCCGGGAGTCCACAGTGGCTGTATTATCATACCCGAATTCTTCCCATTTTCCGTCTCCTACCTCTTGAGACTCCGCTTTGTCGCCCACCCATCCGACAGCCTGCTCCTGCGCAGTGTGTTTGTTTGTGGTAACGTTTTAGGACCGTGTGTCCTGATTGGTAGGAGGACAACAGGCTCCTGAGTCCTCCAGCCCCGCCCCGCAATTGGTGTGGGGCAGGAGGAGGACATTCTGCCCATTGCAGCCACACTGGCCCTCCGCTGGAGCAATTGGACTCCATTCCAATCCCTTGCACATTGTTCCCGTTTTAAAAAAAATCTAACCCCCTCTCGAATGCTTCAAATAAACCTGCCTGCACCGCAGGTCCAGGCGATGTATCTCAGATCCTAAATACAGGCTGCGTGAAAAACTTTATTCTCACCTCGCATTTGCTCATTTTGCAAAACGCTTTACAACTTTTCCCTCTGGTTGTTAGTCTGTTTACGAGATACAATGGCTTCTCCCCAGCTACTCTTGTCCAGACCTCTCATGATTCTGAAAATTTTTATTCAATCTCTCCTCCGCCTTTTCTTTAAGGAAAATAGTCGCAATTTCGCCAGTCTTTCCTTATAACTGAAACGCCTTATCCCTATGCTGATGACAGGTCTGCATTTAATGCAGTCATCTTGAAAGGTGCCAACGTGTAGCAGGGAGAACTTGCGACTCTCAAGGAAGAGGAAACAGGAAGATAAATTTTCTCACCTGGACCCATTGTGATGAATTCTGTAAACTTCTTTTACATGGGGTTCGAAGGGATACTTTTGTCAACGGGACAAGTGAAATCTTTGCCTCAAGAGATGCTTTACTGGAATTGTGTGCGTCAGTGTTTCTAAACTTTGTCTCACATTATCCCAATGGTGCACGGATGTAGGTTGCTCTGCGTGTGTTAAACGGTTGTGTGTGAGAGAGCTGATTGTATGTTATGTGAGTGTGAGTTCTAATTTTCTGTGTGTGATATCATCCAAAAATGCAGGTTAAGCAAACACCAGAGATTGCTTAGCACCATTCACTTTCTGGTTCTCTGAGATACAGGTGATGTTCGTATTTTGCCGACCCAAGTGCATCATCGCATATTGTCTTTGTTAAAGTTCATTTGCCATTTCACTGTTCAAGTCTGCAAGGTTTCTGATGCTCTGTATTATGTTTTATTCTTTCTCAGTGTTGGATATACCATACCCCCGCCCACAGCGTTAACAGAATTATAAAGCTGTTGCAGCACAGGAGAGGCCATCCAGCCTGCACAAGGTCTCCAGATATTTTTCATTCATTCGTGGGACGTGGGCATCACTGGCTGGCCAGCATTTTGTTGCCCGTCTCTAGTTGCCCTTGAGAAGGTGGTGGTGAGCTGCCACCTTGAACCGTTTCAATCCACATGCTACAGGTATACCCATACTGCTGATAGGGAGGGAATTCCAGGATTTTGACCCAGTGATAGTGAAGGAATGGTGATACATTTTCAAGTCAGGATGGTAAGTGGCTTGGAGGGAAACTGACAGGAGGTGAGCAGTCTATGAGAAGATAAACAACTTATGAGGCCTCGTGGATAGTAAGAACTGCCGATGCTGGAGTCAGAGATAACACAGCATGGAGCTGGAGAAACACAGCAGGCCAGGCAGCATCAGAGGGAGCAGGAAAGATGACATTTCAGGTTGGGAGATAGTAGGAACTGCAGATGCTGGAGAATCTGAGATAACAAGGTGTAGAGCTGGATGAACACAGCAGGCCAAGCAGCATCAGAGGAGCAGGAAGGCTGACGTTTCAGGCCTAGGCCCTTCTTCAGAAAATTTTTTCAGAAGATTTTCTGAAGAAGGGTCTAGGCCCG